GGGTAAACATGCAAATGCTCGCCTGATTGCCATGCTACTCTCCAACTGACTATCCAGAGAATATCTTTGTACTAGCCAATCAAAATCCCTAGTGGGGAAAATGAAGTATCCATACCTCTTTGAATAGTGTGGTATGCTACTCTACTGTGAAGATTGGCAAGATGCAAACCATGTTTCACCTGGCTGTTTTTGGATTTGGTGTGGTAAAAAAATGACATTTTTCTTCTTAAGATAAGGCATGTGTGCAGTGCACATACCTTGTTGGGAAGTAGCGTCCTGCTCTTGGAAATTTCCCCTGTATTTGATTTTCTTTCCCAACAAAGTCTGTGTTTCTAAAAGAAAATGCCTCTTTTTCCCTGTTACTGGCAAAATCAGCAGTCTGGCAGAAGCAATTTCAGTGGTAATGGGGGAGAGCTGCAGGTCTTGGTGTGTTTTCAGATGGGGAAATGGCCCCAGACCTGCAGGTGTGAGCCAATCCTGCAATATAGATTAAAAAGGAATACAAATGCATATATTAATAGATGCAAAATTCATCCAGGGGCACAGAACATCCTCCCTGCTACTCAGTTGCCAGAACCAACTGTTCCTTTGTTTTGAACCGTGCTGTCACCTCATGCTGAAATCACAGCAAAATTGCTTATGCACAGTGGAGTCTACTTAGAAAGAGACCAAGGCCCTGATTGTGTGGGGAAAAAGACCACATCCTTCTCTGTGTAAGTTATTATTTTTAGGCTCAGAAAACCCTTTTGGGTAAAATCCTGTTAATGTTTAGAGAGAGAAAAGTCCTACAACTTTCAACATGCCACAGAGTGCATGACTGCCTGGGCACCCTGGACATTCTGGGGCTGTCCTCTCTCAAGACATGCATAGAATTGAACTCTTAATTATTTAATTGATCTGTTTCTCATGCCAAATTAATAGGTATCACACTGCAGTTCATACCAGAATGTAATAGCTATGCTATACGAGTCATTCTTCGTTTTTGTTTTGTTTTGTTTTTGATGTAGGGGGATTACTGCAGTAGGTGATGAAGAAAGCATCTGGCATAAATTGACAGCTCAGCTAATCTGAACTTCATCCTTGTCTGCTATTACTGAAGAAAAAGTGGAGCCTGAGGGGCCCCCTATACAGTTTTGCATAAATACATGGGATACAAGGCCGTGATTTTAAAGACACCTTCAGAAAGGATTTTGAGTGGTCAGAGTGGAGTGGGCTACTTTTCCCCTGCTTGTTTACTTCTTCATTTCATATTGCTCTTCACCAAATCTTTTCCTATTTTGGATTTGAAACAGGTAACTATGCATTTTGAACCTTGCAAGTGGGGGCAGTTTTGACCGACCATTTCTTCTCTCAGTCCTTTTCCCCAGTCTGTTTTCTTTCTTTTTAAACACACACATGCACACAACAGTGGTGGAGCCTCATTACACACATTGGCACAGCAAGCCTTTCAAGCCAAACAGCACAGACACTGCTAAGAAATCTGTATCAAAAGCTTCTGTAACATACTGCTTTCAGTATACAATGGGTATGTTTTCAAGGTATACCTTTCTCCATCTTCCTGCGTCCATGCCTACAACCTTATTCTTACTCCTGCCAATATTTACAACTTAACTCATAATTATCTGGAAATATTTCACCTCTATAGTGGTATGACAATGAAACATTTCCACTCCACATAAAATACTTTTAGCTCTGTAAAATGGAAATAGCAAGCTGTTTGGCTGCACAGACACAGGCTATCCCAGCTGAATTCAAAGTAGCCCTTTCTGGAGACCAGGCAGACACATGGGAAAGGACAACACAGCAAGCCATGATCTGAAGATTAATACAGAATGGTGGGTCTTATGTAAACTAGCTGCTAGGCTAGGGGTGGTTTTGGGAATGAGGGTGTAGAAACTTGCGTGTAACAACTATCATGAAGACTGCAGACACTGCTAATCTACTAGAAAGGAACATCTACTAGAAAGGAACAAAATGATTAACTTGTTTTGAGAGAAGGAAATGTTAGATGTTCATCCTAATTTGCTAATAGAGTCTAGATATAATCATTTGTCTTAGAGTGGATATTAGTTAAAATCAATAATATTTTCATGAGTCTTAACCAGGTACAAGACTGCAGTGGCTATGCAATGCTTGTCCACAATACAATGTAGTGAAGAGGAAAGCCTTACTGCAGGCTGTGTTCTCAGGAATGCGCTAGGCTACTTGACTATGCTACAGATGGCTGAGCTTCTTCCAAAAGATTATTCTAAGAGGTTTCTCTAGATGTCTATCAAATACAGGATAAGATTGGCCAAGGATCTGTAATCCCATTTACATGAAGCCCTGTAATCTTCCTGAAATTCTAAAATGGTGTTTGAATCTTTAATTACAGAGTGATTAGATGGGCTGCAGGAAATAGGCCCACCTGCATTGACAAAGTGACTGCTAGTGTAAACTCAGGAGTACCAAAAGCCAGATCTACTTGTTCACTTTCCATTCACCTTTGAAAATTCAGCTTTTGAAATTAATCTCTGTCTCTCCTGCCAAGAATACTTGTCTATTCAGACAAACAGAAAATCTTGCTCTAGCAGTCTTCCTCAACCGGGTACCCTCCAGATGTGTTAGATATGACTTTTATCACCCCCTGCCAACAGGACCAGAGTAGTCCTACTTACTTGTAGCATACCTGGTTGGGAAAGACTATTCTAGAGACACCAGGAAGAAAAATAGTTCTGCCAAAAAACTGTTTGCATTGTATTTCATCAAAATGAAAAGATGACCTTCAGAAATGGGCTGTCTTTAATTAAGGTTTCTGACCTCTGAGAGTAATCATTTTAGGTTCTGAAGTGCCAAAATATGCTGTGCATTCAGTTGCTACTACATTTTTCTTTTACGGGTTCAGTATATGAATGAATAAGGGAGGGAAAGATACACCTCAGGAAATGCTGAATATAGAAAGAAATCTCTTTTTGTCATCAGTATGCTGACTGCCCTAAAAAAGCTGGAAGAGTTCTGCATTGCATTGCAATTGCAATTTCCATGGAGACATCACTGACAATAATCTGTGAAAACGGTTTCATACAATCAGACTTATCACTAGATAGCAGGAGCAGTGATCATTTGATAAACATGGAACTGGACCATAGGAACCCTTAGAAAACCGAGGGTAACAATTGTGGTCTTCTAATCTATGTCCACCCGCCAATTTCTCACTTCTCACAGGATGAGGACAACATGAAGGGCTGACAGTGACATGTGAGGAAGCTCAACAAATAATTTGCTTGATTTAAGAATGCTCATGAGAACCCCATTGTTATTGTCCTGCTGTGCTATGATGGACATCTCTCTAGATAATTGTTTCTACAGGAGGCAGGACAACAGGATTCAAGCTCTGCCCAGAATTGTACAAGAGATAGAGGAGGAGGAAGAGAAAATATTAAGCCAATCTTGGGCTGATATGAATGTCTTATTAATAATAACCTCCTGAATATGTTACTAAAAGAAACCTAAGACTTTTTTTGAAATGCGAACACATTATACAAAGAGGTCAGCGGAAGAATACAGGCAGGCAGAGTATATGGTTCACTCCTTGGCATCTAAATTTAAAAGATCTCAGGTGGCTGCCTGAAAAAGGGTTATCTGCTTGAAAGCCATTGACACACAGAGTGGACCAATGGATCTTAACCTTGACTCCATTACTGTCCACCAAGTGTGCAACCTTGTCAGCAAATCTCCCAACAGCACTCCTGACAAAATCTCTGTATTTCTGATATACAGGCATATCTATGATGGCCACATTACACAGGTCTCCAGCATACATTCTATGAAACCAAAATGGTCACCAGAAAACTCCTTACTTTTAGGTGCATTTGAACACCTTCCGTTATTTTCTTGTTTTTGTTGCCACGGCACTACTTCCACCTCCTGTTTTCTTTCTGGAAGCTCAGAATGGGCTTTTTAAAGCTGATTTTTGTTCCAAAAACCAAGGAGGAGCCATTCCCGTTTGATTTCTTTGTCCCACTGCCTGCTTTTTAATGTCCTAGTGTGGGGATGCGGGGGAGAAATCTAGTCTGGGATTTTACCAAAACAGGGTTAACAATATAGGACTCTTCTCCACTAACTTTCAGAGCCATTGTACGAGGGAAGAAGGGCTTGTCTAGAATCCTACAAACTTCCCATTTGCCCCCAGAGTTCTGAACACACCCTTAATTTTTTGAGTACCCTGTAGGTGGCCATATGGAATCAGTACAGAAGGCAACAGTCCAATGGTTTGCCTGAGGAAAAGGCAGCTGTCAGCAAGGGACTTGTCAGCCGGGCCATAATCCTCGGGACAGCGCAAAGAGGGGGACAGTCTCTGGCACTGCTATCATTATGCTCTTTCCCGCAATCAGACGACGCTGCGGCTGCACGAACAAGACGAGAACTGGCGGGCCGTTGCCGATATACTACTTACTACGGTAAAACACGTCCTAAACTAAGCGCGCCCGGGCTACCTAGCTCGAGCTCCGCGTTCGCCTCTCGAGCCAGTTCCGAGTTCCCATTGGAAGGGACGGGAGTGGGCGAACCCTTCGCTTACCTCAGAGACCGAGGAGGTAGGTTTAAGCCGGCTGCGTCTTTACTTATTCATGAGTAAGGGGGCGTGGCATTGGGGAAGGGGGCGTGACAGGCGGCTGAGCTTAGGGCTGGACTGCCGAGTGTGGCGGTGACAGCTGGGCAGAGATCCCGGAGGAGGCGAAGCGCCCCTCCTTTCGTCCCTACAGGAGGCTGCCTCAGCCCCTTGCAGCTCCCCTCTCCCTCAGCCCAGATCCCGCACCCCCTCCTGCACTACCGGGGTGGCGTTCCTCAGCCGCACCCCCTCCAACCCGCCCCCCGCCACCGCTTCCCTAGCCCCGCTCACGGGAAACGACCCCCATGGATTACTGGCTTCCTTCAGGAGGAGGTATGAAGATGATGGCCCTTCCCTGCCCAGCGCCCTGGGATACGCTGCGCGCGGCTGCTCGCGAGTGACCCTGCCCGGCTCAGAAAGGACCCCGCAGCGCTGGAGGGGAACAGAGTGCCTTCCCGGTTCCCCACCACTTTCGCTCCTCCACCTCCGGATTGGCCCTTCTACCATGGACAGTATCCTGGAGCCCTTCCCCGCGGAGCGCCTCTTCCCCGGAGGCGCGTCCAGTTTCTTGGACCTGGGAGATCTGAACGAAGCGGATTTCCTCAGCAATGTGGTAAGGGGAGCGCCCGGGAGAGGGTTGAGGTTGTTGGGTGCGGGCGAAAAAGCAGAAGAGCAGCCGGCAAGATTTGTAAAGTAGCCCCCCGAAGATTTAGGTTGGCTGGGGCTCTTTCTTGGTCGGAGGGTGAGGGGGCAGAGGCACAGGGATGGAAAGAGGCGGAAGGAGCCTTGCTGTGTCCTGGGATGCCCCCGGATTTGCTTCCAGCCTCACCTTAAAAGAGCAGCTTGCTGGCAGCCACTTATTGGGAACTACCGCGATTTCAGTTAAAGTCGGGATCTGTTAAGCAACACGTGTTGCATGCAGATTTACACGACCGTTCATCCCCTGTATATTCCATCACATGCCTGGCAGGCGTGGCTCAAAACTGTGGGTTCATTCACTCACTCATGCACATACCATCCTTCGATTTCTCTGTGCTTGATGACTAGCAGCTAAATGCGTGACGCGAATCCATTGACAGCAAGCACTGTGCTTGACGTCTGATATGAACATCTATCTGTGATGCTTTTCTCACGCAATCACCATTTTATCCTATTGTCTCCAAAAGATAGCCATGTATGCATGGGTTAGCCAGAATGCTTGCTTTGAAGTATGGTGGCTGAGCAGGTGAACAAGAACTGATTAACTTTTTTTTTTTTTTTTGGTGGGGGGATCCATACAGATCGACCTGGTGATCTGAATGCAAAATGTCACCTCCCCATGGAACAAAGAATCATATGCATTCATGCTTGTATGATCAGATGGAGTATTTTCTGTAGATTCACAACACTATTTTTTCTATTTCAAGAAACAAATTCCATGTGATCCTGAAGTTGTAAGTAGTTCAGAACATGCCCAGCACAAAAGTTCTACAAACCTTTAAAAACTTGGTTAAGAATCAGATGAGATCCCATTAGCCTGTTATCTTAATGGATACGTCACCTCTGAAGTGCCAGAGGAGAAGTAATGCAAGAGATTTTTGATTAGATCTCTCTTTTTGTTTTAACTTAAAAACAGCAGTAGGATGGGGGAGCACCAATTTTGATTTGAACATCAATATGGTGCATCTGAAGGTGGCTAGCTGTTAAACTCTTCACTCTGCTATTCTTCATCTCTGGACATGTTTATGTGTGCACTGGCAATTTCAATTCATGCTGTTACTCTAAGGAGACTGTGAAAGGTGATGATAATTACTTGTGAGCCACGCTAGAATAGAGAAATGTGACCAGGTGAAGACTCCATGTCTGTTTTAGTACGTGTTAACTACCTCATCTTGGCTAATTTCATCTTGACTGTTTTCTGTAGTCTGAATAAGTTCTCCAGAAGTGCATGGAGCCCCTACTATATATATGCAAAATGCGTCATATGCACAAACATAGTGGATAGGCATTAGAAAGGTAGGAAAGAAATATCAATATAAATATAATTAATTTGAAATATAGGGACTTTTCTGATGTGTCAATGTTCCTATATTAGGGAGCCTAATGGAAATGCCACAACCTGTTTTGATAAATTATTCCACCACCTACCTTCTAGCTTGGAGAAGGCACTGAGGTGTAAGCAGGGGGACTATATTTAATAGCCATCTCCTTCCTGTAAAACAGTATGTTTTGATCTGGTCAGAGGAAAGAGGTAGATGAAAAATTAATTTGGATTTAAAAAGAACATTTTTTCTTTTAATTAAATTTTTTCTTTTAATTTAATTAAACCCATTTGTGCTTATTTACTTTTGGGGCAGGCAGTATAAACACCAAGACCATTTTTTGATGTAAGGGCTTTTTGGAGGGGAATGTATTTATGTATTTATAAAAGTTCATATTACCATTCCAAAATTCAGATAACAAGGTAGAGAAGGCATTGCACAAAAGCAACTATTTTAGTTCAGGCATTAACAATTGTTTTTGGATTCTGGTCCCTTCTAAACTTAGTCTATCTTTTGTATCCCCTGCCCACAACTCAGTACCAACCATCTATTCCCAGGATGAACATGAGTTTGGAGTTCCTTACATTCATGCAAATATATACGGAACTGGGATTTTATTTAGGGAGGGGGCATTCACACACCACTTTATTTCAGACCATATCTGATTAGTGGCCAGGAGCATATTATTTCTAGTTATCAAGCAACCCAAGCAGCAACTGTTCTTAAACTACTCCACTTTGCTGCAATAATATAATATTATTATTAATAATATAATAAAATTGTTACAGATTTTTATTTTAATCTATAATAAAAAAGAGGATGTGTGTCTGTCTGTCTATCCATCAGTGCCATACTTCAGGACTTTAAGATCTAATACCTGATATTACCTGCACAAGGGAACAATACAAGGGAGGCACCTAGGCGCTATTTTGTTTTTTAAATGGATTAATGTACATTAATTTAAATGCGTCCATATTGTTGATACCTCCAGTACCATCTTCAGACAGTAGGTGGCAGATTTCTCTAAACAGCCCATGTCTTTGCAAACAGCTGTGCTAGTTTGCTTTGTCTGTGGTTGAAGCCTGCAGTATTACTTTCAACCACTAGGGGCACACTACACTAACTGTAAATGGTTGTACAATCAATACAGTTCAGTGACAATTGAAGTTTAGAGTTAGCCATGCCAATTTCTTTCTTTTGCTTGTGCATGACATGCATCCCTACAATAGTTCTGGGGGGCACATATACAATCCACATGGAATCATAGAATAGTAGGGTTGGAAGGGGGCAAGAAGGCCATCAAATTCAACCCCTTGCTGGTACAGTACACCAGTTGCACCATCCCACTCAGATAATGGTCTATTGTGTGCAGTACTTAGGTAAAACAGGGGTTCTCAAACTTTTTATCTTCAGGGCTAATTGAAGAAAGGTGAAAATGACTGAGGCCTACCAACTGCAAAATGATGTTGTAAAGCCAGAGGTACTTACAAAATGGTGACAAATGAAGGTGATATTTGGTATTATAAGCTGCCAATTACTGATATAATTTCATATTGATGTTAGATCCTTCCTTGCAAAATTGTTGCTTTGTTTGCCACTGCTTTTAGTAATGAGCTCCATAATTCAGCTTTCCTCAAGTACAGACATTGGTTCAAATTTATTTCCGAAAGCATTTGCTGATCCAGAGACTCTAAATCTGGCTATGTTCGTGGATGCTGCTCTTGGCATCCATTAGGTTACCTGCTCTCTTGGTTTTAATGTTATTACCTTAGAATATTTGATTTTTAAAATGGGAAAGTCCTGTTATTTGTGTTTAGGTGAGAGCTTTAAAAACATTATTTTGGGGCTTAGACCCACAGTTTCTGGTTTATACTTAGACTCGTGCCCTAGATTTGAGCTAGTTGCTTTTCTGTTAGTCTCACTGGTTTGCCTGCTGGGAAATGAGTGTTTTGTGGCTCTCAATGCCCACAAATGGCAGCCATTTTATGAATGAGCAAGCCCCTCCTTGGCAGCCATTTTTAAGAGTGCCCAAAACACTGTTAAAATTCCTGTTTATTTTATATTGTTATTCTCATTCTGCCACATGCCTCTCCAAGTCTTCTTACCCATCTCCTATCATTTCTTCTTCCTTTCTTTTTTGCACGTAACTTTCAGCATCAACCTCCTGTAATCCCTTCCTCGTCCTGCTTTTACATTCAGTTCTTAGAACAGTTTCCCTCTTATCCCCTTCTTTTTTATGCCTAATTTTAAAACAGAACAAAATGAAACAACAGCTTAAAATATTGGCCTTGATGTCTACCCAAGCCCCATTACCACACCTGCCTGCGGCGCAAAGAGGCCCAGGCAGCTGCAACACTAAGACCTACCTGAATGTTGGCTGAGACCAGCTGGTGGGTACCAAGCCGCAGCTGGAGAAGCACTAGGATAAACACCATATGTAAAAAGAGCCTCTGCTGGCACTTCTCTCTGAAAGAAAGAGCAATGGGACTGTGCAACCAAAAGATAATAATGAGTCACAGAACAACTCTATGGGTGCTTGACAGCATCGAGAGGGCCATAGGAATGTTCAGATTCCCAGATCAGAGGTCAGAAAAAGCTCCTCTCTCAGAGCTGGGGATCCATGCTCAGAGCCTTCTACACCCTTTGCAGCTGGTGAAGAAAGAACCCTGTCAGCAGTTTCACCAAGTTCCTAAAAGCAACCTTGTAGGAGTGGAGAGGGCATTCCAGGGGACGGGGAGGGGAGGAGGCTGAGTCTTCCCGGATGCAACATGTTCTGGCAGTGCTTCAGGCTCCTTCCCTCTCCATCTGACCCACCTTGGGTAGATGGCCAGAACCAGCCATCAAGGGCAGGAAGAGTGCAGCACAAGGACATGCTCCTTCCACTCTGCATGGGATGCCTGCAATCCTCTGAGTGTGGAGGCTTTTAGGCAGCCCTGCTGGATTGCACCCTCAGCGACTCAGCCTTGGTCATACAGAAATATATAACTAATGAGTTTTACACAATTAAATCTTTTCATGCATTTTGTCTTTGTTGTGGGGAGGAAAATCCCATTATGGTGTGGTGGAGTGATACAGTTTGGAGCCACGGGAGAATAGCAGGGCCAGGGGCAGAGTTCTTATTCGGTCCCCTCCCCACTGCTGAGGGACAGCCCCCCCTCCTAGGGGAATAGAGTTGGCCAACTCCTCCTGTAGGAGGGCACTGGTGTGCACAGTGACAGGAGTAATGCCCAAATGTGTCAGCAGGCATGCCAGTACTTAAATAAACAGGTCACAGAGTGTCTAGCACTTGACAGACAGGAAGTTTGCGCAAAGATTTTGCTGTATCAAACTAAGGACCATTACATCCTGTGCAATGCTAGGACTGCTCATTAGTATTCAGTTTATCTGAAGCAAGGCCTCTGAAACTTTCTTTGTATCTTGCCTTCTCACTGGCCCATTGACTGGAGCATTCTTCTTACAGGGCCATCTTGTCTGTCTCTGAGGAAGCGGTGGCTGCAATGCCAAACTTTACTTTAGAGGTCTATTCATTCCCTTTGTTTTACCTCAGGTATCTTACACCCTATCCTGCAGTCTTAAAGAACCTAGGCAGGAT